AAAAAAAAAAAAAAAAAAAAAAGAATACAAATGTTTGGTACTTTTGGGAGGGGGAGTACTATCCAATAACCATTGCACACAGCTATCAACTGCTCATACAGCAGTAAAAATACACCATGGTCATCTCACACTGCTCTAGTAAAACCTGGGTAGAAAGTGCACCACAGATTTTAAACACATAGACAGCCATTCTTGCCAAAAACGATGATTTTCTCTTCCGCAGGTGTCTGGTGATATTACTAGCAAATGTCTTTGGAATCTTCCTGTTATTTCCTATGAATAACATTCCAATTAAGATAACTCAAGTGTCTTTTGGTGCATAACTTGCAACCATTTCCAGTAGAAAAAAATACATATATTTTTCCTTGGGTTAGTGATGTTTGGAATTTGGAGGATTGTAAATCCAGTCAATTATAATAAGTGCCATGCTTCCAATCATGAAGATGATTCCAACCACAAGGAAAACTAAAGCCTGTAATTCAGAGAGAACTTGTTAGGGAATGCAGAAACCATAATTAGCACAATTTGTTCTTATAAGTTGTTTACATAAGGCGGCAATCTGATTGGCATATTGAATTGTATTATTTTTAATAACTCAGGGGCCATGCCTAACAGATCAGCCAGTTTAAAACCCTAGCTGGGGAAAAAGAAGGAACACACTGGAGAAATATAACCTAAAGCTTCAATAATAGGATAGTGGCTGACTGATTTGGTACATCAAAAGGATGGAATAATCCATGACCATTAAAAACCAAGTTATAGAAAAAGAGTTAACAATGTAGGGAATCTTTTGGTGCAAATAAGCAGGTTATAATGAACAGTACATATGATATAATTCTAGTTTTATAAAGCAAACAAAAACAAAAAGCTTAATATACATCTCTACAAAAAGTATAAATATGTGTGTTTACATATAATATACACACACATTATATACAAGTATATATGTATGTACATATATATATATAATATTTCAGAATTTTAACACTAGAAGAGGCCTTACATATTACCACATGGATTGGCCTCCCAATTCTATATAAGAAAGGATCAGCTAAAATTTTTTTCATTAGAAAGTGTCTAGGATATACTTTTATTCATTTTACATCTGGTTAAACTGAAAATGGGTCACAAATAGGACAATCAATTGGCCAATGGGACACTGTTGTATACGTCCAAGCAAAATGGGTTACACAGAGGTAAAATTCAGGGGCAAGATGATGGGAGGGGGTTTTGATACCAAACTCGCCTGAAGTCCCTGAATAATCCCAAGAGGTGAATAACTTCAAGGCAAAAATTCAGTATAATTTAGCTGTTATGGATAATATTTAATTATTGGAAAAACAATTATTTCTAGCCTGTGTTTCTGTAGTCCTTTTCCTATGGAAAAGAAATATGTGCTCTCTAATTTAAGAGACTATACTATTTTACATCTAAAGAGGTTAACTGAAATACAAATGATTCTGTTCTGGATCTCAGTCCACAAGGGACAGCAGAGTCCTCTGGAGGAGAAAACAAAGGCAACATTTTCCTTTCATCTTTCCTTTCATCAAATAATTCAATATTGTGAATTATTTCATAGCCATGCTGGAGATTCTACTTCCTTCCTGCATGATTTCATGTGAATACTGTAGTAGCTTAGTATTGGAAACAGGTATACACATAACACCCAAGTGCCAGTGGGAAAAGTTGTCTGCATTTGACATATACGAGGGACTCAACACAGGACATTGGACACCTGAAGAGAAGAAATTCTCGTCGAATCATTTGAGTTTCAGAAATCTACCCCCTTTCCCTGTTAGGATAATTAGCACAGAGAGTTCTAGGTGATTTTTGGTTCTTGCTCATTGATGCCTTTTTCTGAACCACGTGTATTTTCTGGTTTACTCTAAGTAGTCAAAGAGCAACTAATAATCAGGGAAATTGTAAGCCTTACTTACCCCGACCTTTTGGGGTGACCTAAGAGGTTCTTTCTTGACAAGCTTAAGATAAAAAGCTGCTGGAAGAATAAAAATCAGCATGGTGGCCGAGGAAGCCCCTGTGGAGACAAACATAGGGTGGGTCACCATCTTACCCAGCACGGGACATACCCAAGGGCATGTACTTTAAAACAACTAAATGTTAAGCTATCCTATTCTTCTTGGCATTAAGAGCACACATTTAAATCATGCACAACTTGTTTGCAGAAGATATGTTTATACAGAAAATTAAAATGTCCCCAACAGCATAGTTGCATAAGTATATGTAATGTAATAAGCCATAAAAACCTGAACTTAATGCACTTTTATGGGGATTACTAAAATAAATGTATATCAAGGAGACAGAACATCACACACCCTTCCATCCACCTCTTAATTTTTAAGTTGCACCCCCCTGATTCTTTTAAAGTGTTAAAAGGTGTGTAAAATTTGAGTAACTCTTCAATCAGTAGTGCAAAATATAAATATTAAGAAAAATAATACGCTTTACAAAATCAACCAATTCCTCTGAAAATAATGTTAACGATTAGCCGATGATATTCCTAGACCTAGGAGACCTTCCGAGGTCAAATCTATCTTTCTGACTTTTTCCCCAATGATAGAGTTAAGACCTAAGTCCAAATCCTGGTTTGACTTCCATGGGGTGCAGTTTCTCATCTGTCAGAAAAGGCAGTTGGAATAACCCACCTATAAGGTTGTTCGTTCCCAGAGTCACTGGGAGTGAAGGGCAAGTGACCAGTTCAGCCACTGAAGCTGATGGAATTAATGGGAATCTGTGAGCCGGAGAAGGACCTGCAGCCTAATTATCCAGCACTGGCTCCCGGTCCACCATTTAAAAAGGTTTCAGTTTGGGTTGACTAAATAAATGTCTTTCTGAAACTTACCTATGAATCCAAAGATGTATTTTATAGTTGGCACAAGGATAACCAGAACATTATTAAGGGCAATAAGAACGGCTGCAATCAGGAAATGTCTTATCCAGCTGAAGGGTCTTTGGGGAAATAATAGCGTCGTAACTGACGTGCGGATCTGCAAGAAGAAAGTTCAAAGGCTAGGTCACTGCTTTGTATTTGGCTTTATCTACTGCCTCAAATATTCTCCTCACTTGAAAGCTTTTTCCTTCTTTTCCCTTTTTTCCCCCATCGAAAAGCTGTTGATGCTTTTTTTTGCCCAACTTTTCTCTATTGTGGTAACACACACATATTGGTGTGAAGTGCACTTAGCACCACATAACATCATTTGGGCCAGCAACAGACCACAGGGAGTGATTCCAAAAGATTATAATCCCACACTTTCGATGAACCTTTTCTATGTTTAGTTATGTTTTGATACTAATAATTAACATTGTGTCACAATTGCCTATACTAATTCAGTACAGTGATACGCTGTCAAGGTTTGAGGCCTGGAGGCAACAGACCATACCATGTGACCTAGAGGTGTAGAAGGCTGGACGGCATAGATTTATATGATTACACTCTCTGATGTTCACACAGTGACAATATAGCCTAACAATGCATCCCTGTTGTTAAGCAACGCATGACTGTGCACTCACATGGTTGTGAAACCTTGATGCTGATTTTTCATTTGAGAGAGTGTCATTTTCCCTTGGTAATATATTGTATTCACTTTCTCAATTTTCAGAATGTTTTGCTAAAAGTAATCTTGGTCAGACAGATAAAGTAACAGGTAAAATATATACTGCAGACACACAGTAAAACCCTCGTCAATCACTAATCCTGTCTTGTCAGACTGGATTAAACCTTCAAGGCAAGCACTGAATTGATTTAGAGGAGATTGTGAAAGGAGTTTTTACCAACCGAGGTTTTTCTTAATTTTGCATTTTATTTAACATTTTTGGCACTGATATTTTTCAAAAGATGATATTTCTGCATTTACTCCTTTCTCTTTCTCCCCTATTTCCTCCCCCCACCAGTAGATTGTAAAGCCACAAAAGTCGAAGAACAGGACTCAGTCATCTTAGCATTCCTCAGTTTCCAGCTTAGCGTCTAACACACAGAAGACAATGCGAAATGTTCAATCAACCTGAGAAATAGAAACCTTCCCACTCCCTTCAGGACCCTCCACCGACCTCGGCCCTTTTTCAGCAGTAGAAATAAGTCGGTGAAAGGTCAAGAGAGGATTTATTTGCAGAGGCCGCCTCAAGTTACTCTGATGTAACTGGATACAGAGATCCCCATGGGCACAGGGAGGGAATGCTGTTTATATTTGTACAGCTTAACAAAGTTGAGAACACTCTTAGGAATCTTTTAGAGGATTTTTTTTTTTTTGACGTCGTGGAATTACTCTGCTGGCTTTTCAATAAGCACACACCTCAGTTAAATTAGGGAGTTCACATTTGGGGAAACGCTGTGATTTATTTTCACTCAAAGATTTTAGTTCTAAGGTCTCTTAATAGTGTGGTGGTAAGCACTCACTTAAAAAAGAGAAAAACTGAAGATATAATGTATGAGCGACAAAAAAAAATTGAGCCCAAATTGCTTGACAGTTCTCATGTGACATTCCTTTCATACCGCTCCACCAAAAAATTAAAGCCATCTGTTTAGTTTGAAAGGCAAATTCATTTCAGAATGACAAACCAGATAGTCTCTGGAAATAGTTTAAGAATGACTTTGCAAAGGATTTTAAAAATGGCATTAGTGAAAATTATGAAACGCATTCTGAAAAGAAAACGGAAGAAAGCAAATGGTTTGATGTTGTTTTTCTCAGCAGCTTTTAAATTTTCTATTATGACCTGCAATTAGTGCTTATTGAATATTGTCCAAACTGGTCTAATTAGTAGGCTTAAAATAAGGTTTTTAGTGATACATAACATGGTGCGTCAGGACTTACTAAATGGATAGAACAAACAAGTAGAATTTGAGTTCATTTTCAGAAAGAGTTTGCAATGGGCAGTTAGCCCTTTGTTAAAATGGTGCATTTGATGCCTTGAGCTGAGTTTGAAGCAATCCCATGAGTAAGTGCATGAATGTAAATGCGGCTTCCTAAGGCCTCATAGCCACTGGAAAGACTAAGTCAGGTCTGGCCCCATAATGTAAAAGTACAGAAAGTTTATGGGAAAAATGGGTAGAATGGTTGGAGTAAGTAGCAAAATGTTCCTCCTCATAGTGAATGAGGAATAAGAAAATTCCAAACAAAACGAAAGGCAAATAAAGTTTCCAATGCTTTCCTAAAGAGGGCAACAGAGCAAAGAGGAGCTAGTCGGCTGGTGGGAAAGGACGAGAAGCAGACTTGCTGGCTATTTCTTGTTACTGCCCTGAAGAGCCAGACTGGGATCAAAAGGACCGCAGCAGTTCTGTTTACCCAGGTCAGGCAGAGGCATTTCTGGCTCATTACCTGCAAAGCCCGTCTGCTCAGCCACTTATCTGTGTGCCCTTTTCTTTACTGACAGAAGCTGATGTGGGTCAGATGTGCTGTGGGTGGAGGAAACCGCCCGCCAAAGCCTGGGCCTCTGACCCAGAAGGAATCCAGAAAGGTTTTTTGCGGCTCTAGAGAAAACACCTGTTATTGCCAGAGAGAGGGTCCTGAACAGAGCCTGTTAGGGGGTGCTGATGGGGGACCCAATGAGAAGTCAGAAATGTGGGACTAAATCATATTGAATGGAGTAAAATTGAAAACATTTCCACTCAGATCAGGAACCAGGCAAGGTTGCCCATTGTCTCTTCTGCTTTTTAAACATTGTAATTAAAGTCTTAGCCATCACAATTAGGGAAGAAAAGGCGATCAAGGGTATATGAATAGGGTCAGAGGAGATCAAACTTTCAGTCTTTGTGGATGATATGATTTTATACCTGGAAAACCCCAGGGACTCAACCACAAAACTCTTAGAAGTGATCAAGGAATACACGTCTCAGGATACAAAATCAATACTCACAAATCAGTAGCTTTTACATATATATCAATAATAGTCAAGCCAAAAAAAGAGTCAAGAACTCTATTCCCTTTACAGTTGTGACAAAGAAGATGAAATATTTGGGAATTTACCTAACAAAGGACGTGAAAGATCTCTATAAAGTGAATTATGAAACTCTGAGAAAAGAAATAGCTAAAGATATTAACAAATGGAAAAACATACCATGCTCATGGCTAGGAAGAATCAACATTGTCAAAATGTCTATATTACCCAAAGCACTTTATAAATTTAATGCAATCCCTATCAAAGCATCACTGTTATACTTTAAAGATCTGGAAAAAATAGTACTTCGTTTTATCTAGAACCAGAAAAAACTTTGAATAGCCAAGACATTACTCATAAATAAAAACAAATCAGGAGGAATCACACTACTGGACTTCAAACTATACTATAAATCTATATTGATCAAACCAACATGGTATTGGCACAAAAATAGAGAGGTAGATGTATGGAACAGAATTGAGAACCAAGAGATGAACCCAGACACTTATTGTCATTTGATCTTTGATAAGCCTATCGAAAATATAAACTGGGGGAAAAATTCCCTATTTAACAAATGGTGCTGGGAGAACTGGCTGGTGACTTGTAGAAGACTGAAAATGGACCACACCTTTCACAATTAACAAAAATTGACTCTCACTAGGTAAAAGATTTAAACTTAAGACGTGAAACTATAAAAATACAGCCCTTAAAGTAGGAGAGGATATTTGCAGGTTATGCTTCTGACAAAGGTTTGATAACCAGAATCCACAGAGAACTCAAACTTATTAATAAGAAAAGAACAAGTAATCCCATTTCATTGTGGGCAAGGGACTTGAACAGAAGCTTCTCTGAAGATGGTAGGTGTGGCCTACAGACACATGAAAAAATGCTCATCATCTTTAATCATCAGAGAAATGCAAACCAAAACCACTTTGAGATATCATCTAATTCCTCTAAGACTGGTTCACATAACAAAATCCCACAACTACAGATGTTGGCATGGATGTAAAGAAAAGGGAACACTTCTGCACACTCGTGGGAGTGCTAGCTAATACATCTGTTTTAGAAAGAAATATGGAGAATACTCAGGGATCTAAAAGTAGACCTTCTGTTTGATCCTGCAATTCCTCTACTAGGAGTATACCCAAAAGATCAAAAATCACTTTGCAGAAAAGATATTTGCACCAGATTATTCCTTGCAGCTCAATTCAAAACAGCCAAGTCATGGAAGAAGCCCAAGTGCTCATCAACCCATGAATGGATTAATAAATTGTGGTATGTGTGTACCATGGAATATTATGCAGCCTTAAAAAGATGGAGACTTTACCTCTTTTACATTTACATGGATGGAGCTGGAATATATCCTTCTTATAAAGTATCTCAAGAATGGAAGAAAAAATACCCAATGTACTCAGTACTATTATGAAACCAATTTACAATCACTCACACTTTCATATGAAGAATAGATCACCACTATGGCCCAAGATGAAGGAGGGAGGAGAGGGAATGGGAAGGGAGGGGGGTGGTCAGATTGAGGGAGGATGAATGGTGGGATCATACCAATGGTGTATAATGCAAGGGTACATGTCAGATCTATTAGTATAGAGTACAAATGTCTTAACACAATAACAGGACCAGGTATATATATTAACCAGTGTGATGTAAGCATTCCTAATTCTACATGTAATCAGCACATTGTGCCCCATAAATGCATTAATGCATATATGATCTATATGTTTATGATTTAATAAAAAAATAAAATCACAATAAGATATCAAAAAAAAATGTGGGACTGAGAGCCTTAGTTCTGAAGTCTTAAAAACAAACAAACAAAAACATTTCCACCTCTCCTCGTTGCTTAGAAGTGACTCACCCTTTCACTTTGCGAGTTTGCTGTGAGATGCCTGTGAATCACTATTCTGCATTTCCTGGCAGCCCTAGGCTACATTTCTATGCCTACAGCTGCAGAACTTCCAAACAGACCCGAAGGCTACACAGGGGAAAAGAATGATTTTACTATGATAAGAAGAAATACAAGTAGCTAGAGAATCTGAGATGTAATCTTTTTGAAAGGCATGGCCAGTGGAATTTGAGTCTGTGTGTTCATGAGATACTCGTTAGGGTTAATTGGTTTTTAGTTTTTCCCACGGAAATATGGGAACTTTACTGCACAAAGGGAAGCACACACTGAAAGTGGCATGATGGATGGGTCCTCTGGAAGGAGCTGCCATTCCCTGTCAGACACCGCCCCCTATGCTCCCTCCCACACTCTGCTAAGAGGAAAGGAGTTGGTGGCTGCCAGTGAAAAAGCTAGAGTCTTAATTCACTTCATTTATTCAACAGACATTACAAGCAGTTACTATGTGCCTTTCACTAAGAAGGAAAAACTAACCTGATTGTGGAAAAGAAAGATAATAAGTGAAATGAAGGAAAGACAAACCAACCCTTGTCATATACCTTATCAGGCTCCTGTGAAAGAGCGTCCAATTGTCACTTGTTGAAAGAAAGGAAATGCAAAATAGGTAAGGCTAATAGATTCTAATCTGGATGAGATTGTATTTGTTTTATTATTTATATGTGGGGACATACCAAGGAGTGAGGACAAGAGAGTGTGCACAATGTCCTGTCAATGCTAGTTGTGAATGAAAACACATAGTGAAGGGTAGCAGTTACTTTTCTGAATTTTTGTTCTCATGGTCAATTTTGGTTCTAATGGCATCTAATGTTTACAAACTTGCTCTTCCTGATGGTCAAATTTCTACTAGTGCTTTATCTTTCACACAGGCAAAGAACTTGTAAGGGGAGATTTGGGTTGTCAGTGTTGAAGATTTTCAAAGTTCGCCAGTACATGACTTTGCTTCCTACCCCCATGACTGCAGGCCGGCAGTGTTAGGCTACAAGCTGCACTGGTTCAGTAACCAACCAGCTGTGTGACCAGGGCCAGGTCCGTCCGTCCCTGGAGCCCACAGCTGGACAACACTATGTGAACAGGAATGAAGCAATGCTGAGGCACGCAACAAATCTCTTTCATAAAATGCTCAGTGATGTACCTGCCTACTATATGCCAAAATTTAGGAAACGATTTTACACAGAAGGAAGGGCTAGGGACATTCTTTTCTTGGTGAAGCTGTTCACTTGGAAATTTTACCCTATAGTACACCTTCTGTTTATAGCTGTCTTCTGTCTCGTACCCAAGATGAAGCTAATTTTAGGCTAAAACTGTGTGCATGTCATTTGAAATCCTTTCAGATATATTAGAGGCAAGACATTATTTAAAGAGTAAAATATTAGCCACCATAGTAATAAGGATCTGATTTCATGCACTCATGAAAAAGGAATGTGCCAAAATATATTTCAGCACACTAGCTGCATTTAAAGCAATCCTAGTGTCATTATATAAGTAGTTCTCATAGCCAGGCCCTCCCTGTATGGAACATTATGTGCAGGACAGTGCTGGTTACTGTGTGACTTATTTTTTTCCCCCTGAAATGTATGAATAAATTTAGTGTTTATGAAAGAAGAGTTGGCAGGAGGGTGAAGAACTGTGTTTATCCATAGGTGGCGGTTTTAACTCATGCAGCTCAAATCTCTACCACCAGCCCTGCTCATGTTATTCCAGGACAAACTGACGCCAATGGCAAGTGCCAGAAAGGGGTGACCAAGGTCTGAGTCTGCCAGGGGGCATGTGTTGGTTTTTTCTGTGGAGGAGATGGGTGGGTGAGAGAAAGATATAATAGATAACATAATTATTTTGGGAGAAATTTTCACTAGTATATAATTTGTTTAACGCAAACCTCCTCATTAGCCTTCGAGGCATCAGATTAAACAAGGTGCCTTTGGGATGGTATTGCAGCACAAAAAAATTGGGAAGAAAATGAAATACCTTCAAAATTGTGGTGAAATTCAACATGATTTGAAAGTTAATGTGGCTTTGGCTTTCAAATTTCAGAAGTTACATGAAGTCCTATTCATTTTTACTAATCTGCAAGACAGAAGCTTAAGTTCCACTTTTTGAATTTGCGTTTAAAAATAAATTTCAGGATTTTTTAACCCCAAACTTTAAAAATACTTACCACCTAAAAGTAGTTTCTCTATCTACATATTATGTGATCAATTTTAAATGGCTCCAAAGAGCTGTATGAAAATAATAATGTCTTCTAGAATTGCAACAGCAAACTCAAATTATAATTAAATCCACATTTAGTTAAAATAAAGCACATCCACTAATCTATGATGTTAAACAGGTTTCCTTCATCAAAGCCTTGGGTACTTACTGGGAACAGGACAATGGGCACAGTTAGCGTTACTGCCACAAGGACGGCCAGGCGTACCATGAGAAGAGGAGTATCAAATGTGTATACTTTGCTGTAAGCATGAAGTAATTCATCTTCAACTTCTCCTACAGACAGGAAGAAGAGAAAAGGTTCAATAGGTGTTGGCGCTGGTTACTTACAGCAACATTTTATGGAGGAACATGGTACAGCGGAAAAGACCTAAGTCTGGGAGTCCAGATACTTTTGTTCTTGTGTCTGAGCTTATTAACTATGAACCTTTGTTTAAATGAACAAAGGTTTTGAACACAGGTTTTTTTGTGGGGGAAGTGGGTGGATGGTGAAAGAGATTTATTACAGATAACTGTTTTTTGAGATTTTTTTCTTATACGTAATTTATTGAACATGACTCCCTTTCTCATTAGCCTTCAAGGCATCAAATTAAATAAGGTAACTTTTGGATGTTATTGCAACACAACAAACTGGGAAAAAATGAACACAGGGGTCCTAAAGATTATAAAGTTGCAGGAGCTGATATGAAATGGCTTAGGAGCTCCTTGAGCTCATTTGCATCAGGATCTCTCTCTCTCTCTCTATTATACAGAAACATCACAACCAGAGAGGCGGAGGGGCTCTTGTTGAAGGGAACAAGAGGCATAAACCCCACCAGCTTGGGGGATGGGAGGGAGGAGATTCGATGGAAGGAGGATAAATGGTGGGACCATTCCTGTGGTTCTTATTGCAAGGGTACATGTCAAATCTATTAAGTATAGAGTATAAATGTCTTAACAGAATAATTAAGTAAATGAGGTAAAGGCTATATTAACTAGTTTGATGTAAGCATTCCTAATTATATATGAAATCAGCACATTGTACCCCATAAAGGCATCAATGTATACATGATCTATGTGTTTATGACTTACTAAAAAAAAAAAAAATAGTCTATCCACAGGGAACATGGTCTCCTGATGAAAGGAAGGAGCTGAGAAGACAAATAAACAACAACAACAAAAAAAACAAAACAAAAAACCCCATCAGCTTGCCTTTCCCATTCCTTCTCTTTCTTTCCTCTGCCCCCATCTGCCCAGCTAGACCTGACACAGGTCATCCAAACTCAGTCTGGAAACTCAGGACAAATGATCTCTGACATACTTTCAAGTTCAACAATTATGCCTCTTATGACTCTATTACGACACTGAAACTCATTCTCCAGGCTTTTTCAAGTGTTGGCTTGTCTTATGAAACTCACAAAAGTGTAATTAACACACATGTAAGGATAAATTAGTAAAATTTTTCCAGGGTTGTCCATAAATATTGCTATAGGATTGAGATACTGTCCTCCTTGAAAACATATCCATTCTGAGTTCTAGACACAAATGGTAGGAAAGATTTACTGAATCAGATGTAGTTTGATTTTCTCCCTCCTCCCCTTAAGGTCAGACATAAAGGGATTAAAAACACCTTCAGTGATATGACCCTGACTTTCATTAGCTCACAACCAGCAATAAGTTAACATCTAATTGAAAGCATGTGCTTGGTTAATCGTCAAATATTAGTCTAATAAAAAAAAAAAAAAACCTAAGCAAATGGTGGTCCACTCCTGAGCCTTTTGTTCTCTAACAATTTAATTACCAAATGACTCAGAAAAAAAAATTCAAAAAGAGAGGCGTATACAAAAAATATCTTTATGTCCACACAGTGATTACTGTGAACGTGTGCTACCAGTTCAGTGTTTGATGCTGTAAAATTTGTCTTTAGGGCCATACTTCATCCAAGGAATACAATTCTACCTGCTTTGCTTTCTGTTAACATGCCAGAGAGGAAATGTTTCAGGAGTAATCTAACGTGGCCCTAGTCACTTTTTTTTTTTTTGTAGTGCATTCCTAGATTGAAGGAAATTCTGTCATGTCCTTATCTTTCTTAGAAAACCATTCACAATAACTGAATAGAATAGGATAAGCCAAAAATTTTACCTAATACCAAATCCTCAGATTTGACTCAACTAGTAAATAAGAAGCAAGTTTGTACTTGAAGACTTTGTAATGTTTCTGCCATTGGCTTGGTAGTTAATTTTTCCATCAAAAGAGCTTTACCACGTGCAATCAGATTCATTCTTGTTGCTTCTAGCCTGAACTGGATTAGGGAGTTTGGCCAAAGAAATATCTATCCCTGAAGGAAAATAATTTAGTTGGAAGGATTTAAAAAAAAAAAAATAGAATATCTGTGGGTTCCCAGATTGTAACTTGTTAACTAAGCTGGTTCAGGTCTCATTTCCTTAGGTCAAGTAACAAAGCTAAAAATAGCACATGAATTGAGTATACATCATCTATAGTTCATGCTTATAAAGGGCCATTAAAAAATTCTACCTAGCCGGGTCAATGATCAGTCTAAGCAGGATTTGCACAGAGAATGGCTTTGACAGAGTGACCTACCATAGAAGGTTAGGTAGCCAAAGAGGGCAGCAAGCAGGTACATGATGAGCATCCCCGTGATGGAAATATTTGACACTGTTTGCATTTTCCTCCGGGACCGACTGTAAAGAAAAAGAACCCTGAGCTTTGTTTTTTAAAAACATACGAAAATATCACTTTTTAAAATAAAAATAATTTAAGTATGACTGTATTGCTCACAATGAAACTTCATTCCTAGTACATAAACTTAAAGCTGATTTAAATTTATCTTTACACCAGTGAGGGCTGGTTCCCATCTTTCTTAAACGCTATTCCTCCAGTCTTCTTCAGTCTTAGCAACAACCATTTCCCCATAAGGGGAACAGTCTATTTCATGTCAATAAGAAAGCTTATCTACTGAATAATTAAGAATGTAATTAACAGAAAGATCAACCTGGCTTATAATGTAGAAAGCATTTGAATTTCATGATGAGCTGATTTTAATAACACAAAAATTCTACTAGATTCAGCAACATAACTACTGCCAAGAGTTCAGACAACCAGGAAGCCTGATATTGTTACTGGAACAGCTTCTGGAAATCATTCTAGAGGGCACCCAGCTGCCTAAGGTCAACTGTTCTCTTCAAGAGTAATGGCTGCATGTGATTTTCAAAGTAAATCAAAGACTTCAAAATAATTGAACTATTCTGAAAATATTTTATGAGTAAATCGGAATTTGTAGGGACAGGAATCACTACTTAGTGAGAATGAAGACTGAGGTTATTGACTCCTGGATTAATTTAAAGAAGTTGAGAATTACCATATGACACCCTCCCTTAAAGGTAAAAAGGAAGCTACTATAGTGAGCTCAGATCCTTTGTCCCCAAGCAAACGTCAACAATCTCAAAGAGAAGATAATACTACATATGAACAAATCATACATCATCAGCTGGAGGAAAAAGATATTTGAGCCAATGTCTTCATTACATGGATAAGATGATGAAGGCACATTTCTTGTGCTGAATGTCTTTTAGACAAAGGTTAGGAACTGACCATAAAGTGACCATAGAGTGGTCCAGTGGCTTATCAAGGCTACCATAACCATAATTTTTGGTATTCCTGGGTGTTGCCTTCCTGTCCAGATGACATCATTTCTTCCTACCAAAATTCAAATGTAAATTCCCAACATCTTCCCAAATCATTACAACTATTTGCTGATCCTCATTTCCCTGCTCTGAACCCTCCCTGTTGTAGTGGAAATATGGGAGAGAAGGAGGTAAGCAGGGTATTGATGAGTGGATGTAGCACAAACTTCTTCTGAAGAGAAAGCTACGAACCATGTTTCCTCTTAAAGCATTTTTGAACATATGAGCAGATTTTCCAAAGCAAATTAGAATGCTAAAATGATGGCTGCCTTACTCTTTAAGTTCACTGTAGATGGGAAGAACCTCAGGGTGGCATACAAAAGCAAATGCTAGGATAGGAATTGCATAGGCCGTCTGAAAAACAAAGACAACACCACATGTTTAGCATTCCAACACAGATGGCAATCTCAGGCCATCTCATTTTGTGAAATAAATGCTCAGAGGCCACATTACTTGGCTCATTACAGGTCTGGGCCTCTCACTTACCCGAGAGTTGAATACAAAGTATTTGGGTTGACACTTGTCATCACTATGGGCTTCATACTCCACTCCACTGTCATGAAGAGAGCCCTTGGCCTGATTCTCATCCAGCCCGGCAGGATTGCGGTGCGTGTAATCCATCATGAAGTTCACATCTGTACTCTCAGAGTTGTTGGGCAGCTTTATCACATGCATTGGAAGTGTGTTGTTGAATGTCAGATTTCCAACATTGTGATCCAGAACAGGCAGAGGGCAGGGTATCTGGAATTTCTTAGAAATCACCTAGACCCAGTCAAAAAAAAAAAAAAAAAAAAAAAAGTCAGCCTTTTAAGGAAAAACAAGGAAATAAGAATCTAGATGTGTGGCTTATGGGGTCGGGGGAAGGAGCTCAGCTTGGGATTCCTTTTAGACTAATGGACAATGGAGACTCCCTCTGGCCTCTGTTGTCAGGAGAGAGTTGGAACTATGATTGGCAGCCCTGTCCCACAGAGTCAACAGGACAGAATTTTGCATAAATACCCAAGCCTCTTTCACGCTCTTCCATAAGACAGATATTTATTCCTTTGCTAAATTTCATATCCTTTATTTCTTCTAACTAACTATGGCATGGGCCATCACAAATTTTCTATTCCTTATTTAGTTTGGGGGTGAAATGGATACATTTTGGCATTCATGGTAGTGCAAGAAATTCTCCCTTTTGGCAAGGGCAGGGAGATTTCCATAATCCCACTATGGTGGCCCTCCCTTAATGGGTAGAATTCATAAGAGAGAATAGCTGATTCATGGGTTTATGGTTATAGCCCACTTCCTTTACCTTTCTAAGTACTGGGTTATTATAATGTTGTGTTCCTGAAGTGTTCCTTTTGTCCAAAAATATACCCAGTGTGCCCAGAACATACCATTAGCAACTGCCTTAGCATTCAAACTCAACTATTTTTAAACTCATGACTGCTCTTTTTTCATTCCAAATTAGTATATAAGAAAATCCCTTGTGATGCCAGAATCACTTCATGAAAATTAAAACACCAATTCAGGCACAAAAAGCATCTCATGCTCACCAAGCTACAAGAATCATGTCAACCCATCACTTACCACACTGACAAAAAACACCATGCAGGTAAGAGAAAATCCACTGGTATAACCAAGGTAACCTAGGAGTCAGCAGAAAAAACTTGGGAGGTGAATATGGTATCTATGATTAGCTTACCTACAAGACTATGACATAAAATTGAAAATATTTTCAGCTAGAAAATATTTTTACCTAAATTTTTAAGAAGAGAAAGTGGAAGAATAATTCCAACAGACACAAATATGATGAGGTAGTTGCCGTCAAGGTACCATTCTCTAGACAAGAAAGAGAGACAAGTATATTAGGATTGGAAAGACCAAGTAGAATGATGGGGTTGATGTCACAGGGGGAACATAAGACATACCCAGTGTTTTCTTCAAGTCCCATGAATGCTCTGATTACTTCAGGTAGTTCATATTTAATGATAAAGAGGTAGCTTGACATTGCTAAAAGGGAAAATGTGACAGCTTAGTGGTGGTGCATAGCACTGAAGTCATAGGCACATTGTAAGAAGCCATGACATTTGGGGCTGCTATTCTGTGTAAGATGAGCATCTAATCCCCCAAATGGAAAGAAAATCCACCGTGTATTCTGTACTGCTTCCAAGTTCTGTTCAAAAATAGACATTTGTCTCTCTAGCTCTTGTAAAGGTGGACCTTTGCTAACACTGTTGGTGTTGATTCTGTGTTAAATCCAGCTCTAAAGTTTACAGTGAAGCAACAGTTTCAAAGTTTTATCCAGGTCAGTCATAAGTCATCATGGCCTATACTGAGTATGCCTGTTTTAGCATCTATCACTGGGGCAATGATCCAGGAACAACAGGGGTGGGCCGAACAAGAGGGGGCAGAATCACAGGGCAGAACTGTGGAGCCTGGCTCACTCTAGGTGTAGGCCAATCTAGTTCTCTGGGTTCTCCCTGAGAAGGATATAACATCTCAGACCACTTGTTGTTGAAGCTGGAGATTTCCTACACTGATAAAAGAATATGAAAGATAATTGTTTCCCCTACCCTTTGTCAAGGCCAAATAAGAAATTATGCAAAGGGTCAAAATTTTATGAACATTTAGGTACATATATGCAAGTGAGCATGTACTCTTTTGAAAATCTGATATAATCTATAAATACTCTCGTTGGAAAAATGTATATGTATTCATATGCATAACAATTTTGCCTAAAATTTTAAACACTGATGCAACACCCTCTTAAGGCCATCCATGCAGTGGAGTGTGATACTAATTTGTTATTTGACACACAGTCAACAGATTCAATTAAAAATGAAACTGACTAGATTTACATGGAAACTTTTCATATGTGCTACATTCTTCTGGTGGATTTTTGCTAAAAAGCATTTAAAACAGATTATTTAGGTTATAAATTGAACTCTTAATAGTTTAAAAATATTTTCTTAACTTCGAATGTAGGTGACAAGGGTGATAATAATTCTCCACATTGTTTAGGTCTGCACATTACTTCATTTGATCATCTGAACAGCCCTGTGAGATGATAAGGTACATATTGTTATCCTCCCTTTACAGTGGAAGATCTAAAGATATTCAAAGTTTAAATGAGACGTCCAGATCACACAGCTTGAAAAGGATAGGCTACCTCTAAAACACAAGTACCCTAACTCCTAGTCTGGTGTTTCTTCTTTATTGCCAAAGTAAAATGATTTTTAGAATATCTGATATATCTTCTGTACACATTATTTGGTTAATCTTTACAAAGACCTTGGCTAAAGCTAAATCTTACAGAGCGTAAACAGAGGAGACATTTCTGATTAACTGACTCAGTGAGGTCCTATTCAATGTTGGAGCTATTAATTGCTGACTATCAGTGAAGTCACCACTGTTAATGTGTTTGGTCTTCAAAAATTCAGAATGATCCAGACCAGTCTGAGTAATGTCAACACTATTCTGCTAATTTTAAAACATTTGCAGTAAATGTTAATTTTTTTAGGGGATTGGGAAAATTCAACATTCTAACAGTGGGATTGTTAAATATAAAAATACACTTTCCTTTATGGCAAATATATGCTAATCATGGAGTACCCAAAATGGGAGCAGTTTCTGGGATGGTATTAGGAAATTTCGTCTCACTTCCTTGAAGACACATCTCTCACAGGCATGTGGCTCAACCTAGAGACCACTTTATAGTTTATTCCCTTATTTAGAAGCCTAATAGCGGCTGTATTTGAGCTATAGATGCTGCTGCTGCCACTCAGCTACTAGAGTTCAGGGATAAATATGCTTATGCCTGGTTATTTCAGTTGTCAAAACAAGTAAATAAGATCAACTATGAGGCAATCCCGTAAAATGCTTGATACTTTAAATCTTAATAAGGCTGAGAATTTGAACCAAATGTAAAGCAGTCTATTTGGTGGGATTTGAGAGGCGTCTATACATATTTATAGCCGCATTTTTGTGAAAGTGAAAAATTAGAAATAATCCAGCTACTTATCAATAAGGACTCTGTAAACCAATTATGGTACATTTGTATAATGGAAAACTCGAAAGCTATTAAAAGGAATAGCACACAAATATATTCGAGCATATTATCAAATTTGAAAGCAGTAGAAGGAAATGATCCAATTTTAACAATACCAGTATAGTTGTTAAATTAGACATCGGAGAAGGCCTAGGAGCAGATATTTCTGAGGATGACTTGTGTAAACTTTTCTTTGTAATTTATATATTTCTGTAACATTTTAGATTTTCACAATTAGCATATATTTGTTTTATACTTATAAAATGTTCATCTAAAAACGAATTCGGGGGGGCTCCAGAGACACGTATACTGAGGCAGAGAGCCCGGGAGGAAGGAAGCATGCTCTTTATGAATGACGTGCTCATTATGCGCCATCTTTTGTTCTTTCATCCTCACAATGACTTTGTGGGAGACTCAAAAGACCAGTAAAAGATCCAATGGACAGAATTGGGCATTTGACTGGACTTTCAGGGTCAGGGAAAGAGAAAAAAAGTTTAGGCTGACACCCAGATTTCTGGTTTAAGAAACTGGATGGCTGCTGGTGGTATTCATTGAGAGAAGAAAGAAGAAAGGAATAGGACAGCAGGTTTGGGGAGTGGGAAGGAGGTGAGGAAATGAAGTGCCACCGTGTGGGGATACACTTGGGGCCATGCAGCTGGATGTGACCAGCAGGAAATCTGAACTATGGGTCTGGATGCCTCCTGCGGGTCAAAGACACACAGAGCCACTGTGAAGCTGGTGGACGAACATACCATCTAGACCACTGCTAAGAATACGTACTTCTAGGCTCCACCCTTGAAATTATAATTCAATGGGAATTATAAGACTCTGTAGAACCAACAAGACTGTGGCTTATAGTCCTTCTGCCACCTAGCCAGAGTTTTGCCTTAGTACAACTCCTGATGGAATTGGGCTGGCCTCCCCAGTGGGCTGACTCTGTGCAGGCTGTGTCTCAAGGGAACCAAAGCATTTCACTGTGTCCTCCTAGCCTGTCCCAGACGTGTCCCCCTAGACTGTCCCAGACACCTACATTTCAATTGTATGGAATGAATTCAATTATGCATAGAAACATCAACTATGGTGACGATGACAGAAATAAATATACATTTTACTTTTTAAAAATCATAATTAATGCTATCACAGCACCAAAAATCAAGAACGCTTTTATATTTTAATTTTAGAATTCAACTAGTAGGTTTTATGTATTATTTTATTCTTATATATTGATATTTTTAATAAAAGAAGGACAGTAAATCTACTTAGGAAACTTCATTTTTAAAACTGAAGAATTACAAGGCACAAGAAGGAAACAGGGATTTTTCTGTATTTAAAGTGCTCGTTCATTGCCAAAGAGAGTTTTCTTATTTACTGAACATTCTCTAGAGAGTTTAAGTAGTCCATTGGAAGCTATATCCTCTTACCTCCAATGTTCTGCATTGTGATGGAAACAAAAGCTCCGATCTTTCCAGGCCATCCAAATGCTTTTTCCCCTAATTTTTCATAAATTAAAGACCCTACAATCGAAGATGAAATAGCCTTCAGAAGACCATATTAATGACTAAAATATTTCTATAATATAATTCTACACTGGAATCTCAAACGTGTAAATAAACATCATCTAGAAATTATAAATAGCAACGATGCAACCTCAAAAACCAGTATGTTGAAATGTTCTTCAAGCAAGAAGCAATGGCTTCATTCATTTCAGGGCTCATAGCAAATCCAATGGTTCTTTCTGTCATCCACTAAAAATTTCTTTTTTTTTCCTGAGCTACTTAACTTTCACTCCTCCCTCTCATTTGCCCAAACAACTGAAAACATTGAGAGACCGTGTGATTGAGGTCAGAAGAAAATGAAATGAGAAATTGACTGAAGTCATCCTAAGGTTATGAATCTCTAGACTGAAATACTCTTATGAGAATCAAAACAGAGTATCTTGGATTTAAGGGGAAGCATACCTCCTTCCTTGGATGTCTTTAATAAAAGGTGAACTGAATAGAGGGACAGTATGGCCACAGCAAGCAGCATGATTCTGTAAAGGGAACAGAGAGCCAATAATAAGGTTTCTACAATAAGTAAGTCATAATGTTAGATGCTACATAGATGATCACATGGGTCTTTTTAATCACCAACTTTCCAAAAGCGTGTAGATTGGGGGAAGCTGAGAGATTCTTTTCAGAGCTCTACACATACCCTTTCATGCCACAGAATTAGCACTTGCTGTATTTTACATGCCCAAACCTGCTACCTGAAGTTCCTAACAAGTATGCTTTAGTGTTACTCAGTTGTAGAACCTGGCTCATAGCTTAGATGCTAAGAGTATAGCAAAAATGAGCAAATGCTGCATCTACTTACTCAGCATATATGTATATGGCCATCGTATTTGCTTGATGGTCACATCAACATTTAGAACTGAAGGGCTATTCAGTAGCCTGACTAAATCTTAACCTAGAAGCTAGGAATCCAGAAGCCAAGGCATGCAGAGTCAGCTCCTTACTGCTGTTTCTGTACATTTTACAAGGTTCTCCACCAACCAGAGGGTCAGGCAGTTGCATGTGCAACAGAGAAGGCAGAGAGAGGTAAATCCAGGGGGCAGGAAAATTCCTTTATTCTATTCAGAAAGAATCATTTCTGGTGCCAGGATCCTTTCACATATCCACATGTATGTGTAGTTTCTTCATGTTTACACTGATCAGCATTTTTCCAAAACCAACAATTGGAGCACAAAAATAAGAGGGTAGAGAGAGCATCTATATAATAAATGAAATAACAGTGTTTTTACCTGGTATTAAAAGAAATCTTTCTTTGTTTACTTTACATAAGAACACACTAAAGATTTTCTCCACCATTGATCTAACTCTTTGGTAATTCCCAATGAAACTTATGTTATAAATGTACATTGGAATCATGAATTACAAATTTTATATTCACTCCAGCAGTAGTGTACTCTTGTTTCCATCAATTTGTCTGCCAGATGGTTGAATCCATGATACAGTGTTACATATTTCCACATGCCTTATAAACTTAGCTAGCTATTCTCGAAGAATAAAGAACATTTTCTATATCCTAAACGTGTACTTGTTTTGGCAGAAAATACTAAAAATAAAACCAATGGAATATTATGTTATTTGCTATGGAGTAAGGGAGAAAACTGAATCTAGTCTGTGCTACTTAGACACACAAAACAGCCCCATGATGTTTAGCTCTTTAATTGCTTTGATCAAATCAATCTGTTAAATGGTTATAGCCCTAAAATGAGATCCTTGTTTGAAGAATGGAATATTCTTCTCCTATGAACATGATCTATGACCCTGGGAAATCAGGGGGAGTGTCTTCTACTTCTATTCATCAGTTATCTACTATAACTTTCTAATTAAGTTAAGTAGTACATATAATGAATAAGGAGAAGGCAGTCTTTTTTGCCACAAAGGTAATGCACTTTACAAAAGCATGCAAATGCATGAGTACACCTCTAACCACGAAGACCCAAATAGTAAAGAAAACCCTAGTTTATTTCAAACACAGTTTATAAAAGTAAAGTTATAAAAGCCTATTTACCTGAAGAATATTATACACAAAACAGCTCAACCAAAGCACTAACACAATATAAATATTTAGAGTGCTGATCCTTAGGCCTCAAATAACTGTCTAATGATCTAATCATATGTGATGTTCAGAACATAAATAGTATTTATATATCATAAATGTTGCATTCTTAGACTGTTATTTAACTCTCTAGCCCTGCATTTGGGATTAGGGTCTGCATCAACATTGATGCTTAATATTAGATTTCATTCTTGTGAAGAATTCCACTGCTGCCAACTATGTCTTAGAAAGGCTGTACACAATGCACATACATGTCTGTGGTTGACCATCACAGATGACCCCGTATGTATCCTACAGGTCAGCTATGAGACACTGCTACCCCTCAACAGCATTTGAGCAAGTTAGGTGAAAGTGCACAGGTTTGGAATAAACTTCAGTCATTCAACAAATATTTCCTGTACTAGGCACTGGGTTAGGTCTTGGGGATCAGACATGTGGTGAGTGAAACCAGACATGGACTCAACTGGCAAGAGATGATAGTGTTGCAATGGAGATGAAAATTAAGGGAATGAATCAGACAACCACACTAAAATATTAAAACTGTGGTGAGGGTAAGGCGATTTCCCCACCCATGGAGGTCAGGGAAGGCAGGTGAAGCTGAGCTGAGATGTGAGGAGTAAAGAGATGAAGGACAAAGGGAAGAGGTTTCCAAGACCATGTGTGAAGGCTTGATGGTGAGAAGGACAGTGGCACCTCCTTGGCCCAGAGGAAAGGCTATCGTGCCCAGTGTGTGTCACAAATGGACAAAGGGAATGGAGTCTGATGTGGCACCAGAACATGCAGGGTTCTTCAGTCTGGTTTGAGATGGGAATTTATGCTAAGAGTGAGATAAAATCAGATCTGCTTCTGGGAAAGATCTTTTCAACTGCTAAAACGAAATACTTTGTGAAATGGGCTGGGGAGGAGCTCCAGTGCTTTAGGTGGTTGAGCACATAAATTTTTTGCTATTTGGTTAGGGACAGTTGGGCAAGCAAGTACCCTGATTAGACTGGTCTGATTTTTCCTCAGGTTAGTGTTTTATCTAAAAGCAAAAGGAATACACTAATTCTTAGATTTTTTCATCAAACTTCAGACTGTTAATTGAAAAAGCACCAAGTATGCATGGACTTCATCGCCAATTGTAGACATGTACACTCACATAAAAAGTATGATCCCTGTGTTGGCCATGGCGTAGGACAGGCCCAAGATGCCGCTGCCCATGATGGCGTTACTCAGGTTGAATGAAGACATCCCAAAGGAGGTGGTTCCGGGGTGCTTGAAGAAAAAGGAATGCATTAAAGCAAACATTTGCCAAAGGGTAAACTTTGGGGGAGGGTGATTATTCTTATTTTCATATTATCTTTAATGGAGGAGCTTATAGCCCATAATTGAAGACTAAGATAAAATCATAGCAAGTAAAAACCATTATTCAACATCCATAAAACTATGTAATTTTCAATGGAATGCAGCCCTTGGTTTCAGCCGAGGTCTCAGTAAAAAAGTAAAAAATACAAGTGGAGTAACACAAAGAAGGGGAAATGTGTATGACTGTGGATTACATTTGGGTTAGAATGGTTTCTCCAAAAAACAAATAAATTTCATAAATGATTTATGCAGCCATATGGCGAACAGGAAAAACAAGCCCTTATTCCAGTAAGGGCCTAAATAAACAGAGAATGTGCTGATCAAAGCTTGGAAAATTTCAGTGACAATGTTTTCCCACAGAGATCTAAGTAGCTCAGACACCCTCAGTCCTGTTTTCTGCCTGAAAGCGGAGATTCACTTACATGTTCATCGCCATAATCTGCCAGCTTCTTCTCTCCATAAAATCCATTTGTCAGGAATTTCTGACTTTCAGCATCTTCATTAGCAAATTGACTGAAGATGTACACACATACACACAGTAAGAAAGTAAAAACATCTAAGTAAATGCTCTGAATTATATTTACTATTCAAGTGATCAACTAACTGAATTAGGGGAGGAAAATGAAGACACTTAGAATTTTTTCTTCTCCTCCTTCATACCAGTGCTCGTACCAGATTAATGACTAAGCACCATTTACAAATATACTTTGGGAGAGAGGAAGGATATGATGAAGGAAGGAAATATTATTTTAAGTTGAAAAGGTTTTTATGCCACATTTCTTCCTTCCCACATTAGCCATGCAAGAAAGAAACTAATTAGAACTAATTTGGTTCCCATTTAGGGCCCTTCCAAAGAAAGGGTCCCGAGTGATGACTCTTGAGTTTTCTGAAGTGCTACCATACTCAGATGATCTTATGAATTCAACCAATATTTATGAAATGCTGGGCATTCTGATCCTTGTCTCATTTGATGCTCAAAATATCCCTATGAGAGGAATTTTCATGCCCTTACTCCAGAGATGAGGCAATTGTGGCTCAGAAAAGTGAAGTAGCATGCCCATATCCACAAGACTCTAAGCCTATGATTTTCCGTGGCATCAGAAAGTTCCAGGCAGGGCTCTGTAGCTGGTACTTTCCCTCTTGGGGGGCTCTGTCTGTTTATACATACAAGCACATTTGCAGGGAAGTAGTTCAATGAGAGCTATGTGTTATATTTGGTTGTGTGTGAGCATTTTAATAGCTCTGAAAATATACTTAGGATATTATTAGCTAATGGATGAAGTCAAAGTAAAATTATAATATTAAGGCAACCCAATGAATTAGTAGAAGAATTTGGAAGAAAAGGAGACTTTAAAATGTTGCTGTCCACAGAACTTGTGATTATGGTCTTCTTCAGTGTGGGCTGGAAGCTGTACAGCTTGGTCACAGAGTCACCCCTTAGCGTGCTGCTCAGCCCCTATAGTCACACACCAAGTGTCTCTGAGGCTATGGACCTAAAAACCAGCCAAATTCTTGCAAGGCTTGACTAATGAGGCCTGCTGCTACCACTGCATTGCTATACTGCAAAATATCACACAGACTTATTATATAAAATGCCTGGGTATATATGCTTCTTAAAAGTGCTTTCAAATTGGATAGATTGCAATTTTTAGGACATTTCTTACATGAAAGAGTAAGATAAAATAATTGAAGAGTGTTTTGTTAAAACTATCCTGAGAGGCTCGGCGCCTGTGGCTCAAGCGGCTAAGGCGCCAGCCACATACACCTAAGGTGGCTGGTTCATATCCCCAGCCCGGGCCCACCAAACAACAATGACGGCTGCAACCAAAAAATGGCCAGGCATTGTGGCGGGCGCCTGTGGTCCCAGCTACTTGGGAGGCTGAGGCAGGAGACTCGCCTGAGCCCAGGAGTTGGAGGTTGCTGTGAGCGTGATGCCATGGCACTCTACCCAGGGGGATAGCTTGAGGCTCCGTCTCAAAAAAAAAAAAAAAAAAAAAACTATCCTGAGAAACAAAGTAGAAAAGAATTATTATAGAAGAGCTGTACAAATTACTTTTCATAAGAGGAGCTAATCTTGAGTATCAGGTGAGGAAGAGGGATGGCAGGGTTACTTTTGAGACTAGAGAACAATATAAGGTGTGGATAGAAATATAAGACAAAACCACAAAGTTGTATGTACTTTTCTAGAACTCAAGGAGCAGACAGCCCTGAGTTTCCAGATGAAGAACCTTTCTTGGAGTCTTAGGGGTGGTTGCTAAGCTTATAGCTCATGGAAAGCAGAATGCCCCAAGTGGTCACCTGCCTCAATTTGCACAGGCCCTGTCACCTTTCTGTGATTTACTCCAATAGTCTGTAATTAATATCCCTGCTATGTGAAGACTGGTACATAATGTTTGCTGTTGGAAACTGAGACCAAAGGATGAAATGAAGCCTAAAAGAGGCCTGAGGACTATACAAACAAAAGTGTCACCTGGAATTTAAATTTGCATGTCCAATGCTTAATTTCTTTTACTTTAATCAATGAACTAGTGTCTGTACGCCATGAGTAAGTATTTAAAGTGTAAAATTTGAAAGTAAGTAGATTTTCTCTTTTTGAGGCTTTTGCATGTTCTTATTCAGGCATGAGATGAATTGTGGTCATAAAACACGCCACGGTTGTATAAAATACAGGAGAAATGTCCCCAGTGTGTTAAATGTTTTGCTACCAAACCCAGCATCTATTGAAAACATAAGTATAAAGATCCCAAATAAATATATTATGTTGGAGTTCTCAAAAATTTACATTTAATGGTTTAATTCAAACATTATATAGACAAACCCCATCTTTCTAAAATGGTTATGAAATTGCAAACCCATGTTTAGGCCAGGAGTTAAAAGGGAAGTCATGATGAGTTGCTCTTTCCATTATGGCTTTGTGAGGACTCAGTGGAATGACCCTGGGACAGTTCTTGGGAAGGTGTCTCAGTGTCTACAGCTTAATCATCCTTGGCATAGTTGTGCAGATACCTCTCAGAAATAAAAGAATCCTCATATTTGGATCAATTTACTAAAGATAATGAAGTGAAGGAGAAAGAACAAATCTTTATTGACTATCATCTATATTCCAGGCACTATTTTAACCCATGTAAAGGTAGCTATTGATTTGCTATTCTATGGTTTCTACTGACGCTCAAAGAAGATAAATATTGTCTCCAAAGTCAGGCAACCACCCCTAAGACTCCAAAGCACTATGTTCTACCACACTGTTTTCTCAAGAGTCACCTGGTTGAGAAAATGCCATCATTCATGTCTCAGTGACCTCTCTAGCCCAACAACCCTGAAGTTCAGGATCAGGGAATTGATGTATTAATGTTCCAGTGAGACCCCTGTTTTTCATGTCCACAAACCTGTCTCGTTTTTTCTGTAGAACCTGGCAATTGTTAAGCCCCTACCTGCTCATTGCGGCCTTTTCTGAGCTCCCCATCCCGGTGTAGCTATCCAGAGCGCTTTCTCCACTGCTGCTCTCTTCATCTGGCTCAGTGTTGACATTTCTCAGTTCCACAGGATCCATTTGAGCTGTCAGCGCTTTCTTGTCCACACACAAGCCCCTTCAGTGTAAATAATATACTGTACCTTCAGTTGGAGGCCCTTTCGCTTTGTGTTGATGTTCAGAACACTCTGTTCTGCAAACAGAACACAATGTAAATCATTATAATATTCTTTAAATTAGTTAAGTGAATATGAATCACCTACTTTGGATATGCGCTCTATAAAACATGGAAAGGAAGTAAACTCCTGAGTCATGTAAGTATGTCCTTACCCAATACAACAAAGAAAGAAAAAATGAGAGAAGCAGTAAAATTACTAACAATTGTTAAACCAGCAGATATTTATAAAGTGGCTATGTATAATGAATGAGGCAGATGCTTTATTAGTCACTAAGGAAAGAAAAAGAAATCTTAAGACAGGGCAGTGGTCTTCAAGAAAACGTAGGTATTTGTAAATACAGCCCATGCTTTAAAAGAAAGGGAAGCAAAAGTAATTGTTGATAAAATTCTGCCAAGGCAGAATTGATCAATGTCTTTGCTAGTTATACCTGGAAAGAAAATTACTGCTTTAATTTAATTGGGCATGAAAGAATTACCACTACCTAATGCTTGAGAATATGCAACACAACACAGAATATGGTGCTTAGGAAAACACTTTCTGGGCTCTTGGATCCTGAAGCCCAACTTAAAAATAGTAAAAGAAAAAGAAAAGTACAGGTTTCCTTTTCAATCAGCATCAGTCACCATCTATATCAAATTAAAATGTGTTTTAACAACTAAGAGATCTAGCATTTAGTCTCTGCCTTTAATTTGTTGGATCTCAGCACAAGGCATTTAACTTTTTTGACCTCACTTTCCTAAACTATAAAGTGAAAAGGGGTAGACTGGCATTGGGTTTTAAAAAATGCCAAACCTTTGTTGTGTGTTGTTGATACAATTACCTCTGAAATTTTTTACTGTTAGATTCATTCCATTATTTTGAAATGTTGTCCTGGGAGAAACACTATCACTCTTGGAAAGTGTGGTTCTAAAATTTGTATTATCTGTTTGATAAGAAAATCCTGAGCAGAGAAATGAACATAAAAATCGCTCCAGAAGACTTGAAATCCATAAATGACCTGGTAAACAGAAACTGCCACATATGAATGCCTCCACAATCCAAATGCCATTGCAGTACACCTGTGGAAGGTATGGCACCACTCCTGGAAGGCTACTCACATTTGAGATAAGTTTACAACTCCAAATTACAAAAGTTATAAAGTACACATGGAAAAACTCACTAGTATGAGTAGCAGTAGGTAGAAGAAATGATAAGATTCACACACTTGAGGAGCCAGCAATTTAAAAGGTTAAGTTAAAATTTTAAGCAATTTAAAATTTTAAGTTAATATAATAAAAAGATATAAAATAAGAGTATCATCCATAGAATAAATACATTTTAAAAGAAAAACAGGCTAGTGTGAAAAAAGAACCAAAGAAAGGGGAGGGGGTAATCTAAAAATAAAAATTAGAGTCATTAAAATTAAAAAAAAAAAAACAGCTGAAAGGAGAGTTATAAAATTAGAAAACAGATCTATGGAAGTCACTCAAATTATAGCACAAAGAGAGAGGAAATAATATGAAGGAGAAGTTAAATGACAGGGGGAAAAACAGAATAAGAAGTCATTCTAATATGAGAAAATTGTGAGATGCAGAAGAGACAAAATAGAAAGAGACAGTGGTAGAGAATTGCCCAGAAATGAAGAAAAACAGTAGCTCTCCAAATTTAAAAAAGCACATAGAGTTTCAACTAGGAATGATAAAAATGAATCTATCCATTAATATAAGGCTAAGTGCATAGCATAAAACTATCAATAGAAAAAGCTTAAATAGTACCAGAAAGAATACAAGGAAGACAAGTTAAAAGAAAACACAGAAACTTGTGAAACGAATATAAAGGTTTTCCTCATCTATCACATAGTACCAGTCTTACTTCCCAGCAGCAACCACTCATAGTTGTTTCTGGTTTTAGTTCATTTAAAGTCAGCCATTCTAAATCTAAATAATTCACTAAAACCTCTCTGATTTGGTTTAAAAGCATTAGATTAGTACCTATGAAAGGCCAAAAAATTAGCATACTTTTTTTTCTATCTTTCTTCCCCCACTCTCCTATTTTAGTTAATGAAATACTTTCACACTGTTAAGGATCATAATACTTTCTTCCTGTTCTGTAAAACAACTAAATCATCATAATTTGTCTGTAGATTATTTCTAAGCACAGAAAATTGGATCAGCATTTACAACATAAGATTAATATGCAATATTAAGAGTATGCTTCAATGAACCAAGTGGTATAGTTGATGACATAATAAATGAAATATAATTCTGTATTATCAAAATGTTGAAAGCAAATTTTCCATCCGCTTTCATTTTCCGAATGGCTTCCTCCTCTAACCTCTGGATCCTGCTCAGTTACTGATAGTTCTTAAATGCCATTCCCTCTTTTTTTCCTTTTTTTCTGCAACTATTCTGCATTATGCTAAAATACTGCCTTCACTAACTTTTTTCTCATACATTTGTAAACAGGACTTCTGCATTGTTTCATGTCAGAAAATGTCTTTATGTTGCTTTCAAACATTGTTGATTGTTTGAATTCTAGATTCTGAACCATTTCCCTGAAAATATAGATATGTGGGGGGTTCAAAGACTTGTGTGTTTCTTCTGCTCCAAAAAATGTTCTAGTACTTAAAAACATGATTTCTCCCCTGTTATTTACTTCTAACACTTCCATTTGTCAGGTATCAGATCTCTTTATCTGTGTTTTTACGTTTTTATTTTCCATCTGTTTACCTTACTGCTCAAGGGTCCAGGATATATCCTCAATGTCGCATCTGAAATAGCAAATTTAATCTTCAGCTATGTCTATTTTATTTTACAACCTGTCAACTAACAATTTGTCTCAATTATGTTTTTAATTTCTAATAATTTGTTTTTATCCTCTTCTTTCTTTGTAAAATCATCTTTTTCTTTGTTTTATGGATGTATTATTTTCTCAAGTCTAAGAATATTTATTGGAGGTTTTCAAAAGTTCCTTTGGTTTCCTTTGGTTTCCTCCGGCATTAGTTATTGTTTGTTCATCTTGGTTCTTCTCTTTCATGCCACTAATTTTCCTTAAATACTTAGTGATCCTAGGTTGTCTGCTCATATTTACAAATTAAAGAACATGCTGCTTAACTTAGACAGCTAGTGCTTAGGGTCTCCCTGATATCATGTAGCACTATTTCACTGGTGGCCTGCTCCCTTGTCGGTTCTGTATAGTAGCTCTTCTGAAGATTGTCTGGGTGGAGCCCATTGCAGGTACCCCACTAGGGTAATGGGAGAGGACCCCACTCCCAGGTACAGCTGCCACTCTAGGAGAGGAAACTCTGGTGATTAAACATTTTACTGAAGTTTCCTCTTGGTGGAGTTTCCATTCCTGCTTGTTATACCTCTGTCTGCTATGGTGGCACTAGTACTTAACCCTAGATCCTTCCTCAGGTTTTCTTTACAGACTTATCCTATGGGCCCGAGACCATCACATCTACACCGAGGTTCCCTGGTGTGTATCTGATCCTGCCTGCCTGTGATCCAGGCCTCCTCTTTGGACTGACTTAACTCTTGCAGGGCTCCCGCTGGGAAAAGCACACTTACCCTGGTTCCTTTTGTTTCTCTCAATTTTCCAACTCTATCTGCTTTCTGGCTTCCAGGAATTTTAAGAATTTGTTTGTTGATGGCACCCCTATTGTTTGTCACAGTTTTTGTGGGTTTGTCCTTTTAAAAAGTATCATTTTTTAAAAAAAGTTTCATTCCTTGACTTCCTCCCCTTCTTCCAGTCTATTCCCAAAGATTTCATATGATGTGATAATTAAGTTTATGGGTCCCCTTGACTGAACTAAGTGATGGCCAAATAGATAATAAAATATTATTTCTGGGTGTGTCTGTGAGGGTGTTTCTGGAAGAGATTAGCATTTGAATCAGCAGACTGAGTAAAGAAGATCTGCCCTCACCAAGGAGGATGGGCATATGCCAATCTCCTGAAGGGCTGGACAGAACAAGAAGGCAGAGGAAGGTGAACTTGCTCTGTCCTTGAACTGGGACACCCATCATCTTTTCCTGCCCTTGAACAATGGAGCTCCTGGGGCTTGAGCCTTCCAACCCTAGGATTTGCACCACCAGTCCCTTGGTTCTCAGGCCTTCAGCCTCAGATTAATTTATACCATCAGCTTCCCTGCTTCTTTAGCATGTAGATGGCATATTATAGGACTTCATGGCCTCCATAATCATGAGATACAATTCCCATAATAAATCTTATCTGTATCTATATATGTATCTTTATCTATATATATTTCTAGATCTATGTCTATTTTTATTTCTATCAATCTTATTCTATTGGTTCTATTTCTCTGGAGAATTCCAACTAATACATGTTCCAAAGACTCCTCGGGTTCCTTCTTTCTGCCCAGGCCTCTCTTCTGAGTTCCAGTTGCATGTGTCCATTGGCCTAACTGATATCTCAAAGGCAGATTTGAATCAGCGTGTCCAAAAACCTAACTTGTGATAGTCCCCTCTTTGTCCAATGTTTTCTTTCTTTTTTGGGGGTGGGGGAGGCTGCAGAGCAGACTGAGGAGGAGAGAAAAGAGGGGAGAGAGATAAGGAGAGAGTGGGGAAGAGAAGAGAGAGAGAGTAGAGCGAGGGGGAAGAGAGGGAAAGAGAGAGAACAGAGAAGGAATGCAGAGAGAGGTAGGAAAGAGAGACTGTCCAATGTTTTCTATCCAAAGAATGTTGTCACTATTTCATGCAGTTACTTAAGCCAGAAGCCTAAGTCTTCCATTATAAATTTTTCTTTCTTACCCACCACATCCAGTTCTTTACAAAATCTGGTTGATTTTACTACTAACTGAAATAATTCTTTCTCTTTTTTTGAGACAGTCTCACTCTGTTGCCCTGGATAGAGTGCTGTGGCGTCATAGCTCACAACCTCAAACTCTTGGGCTCAAGCAATCCTCTTGCCTCAGCCTCCCAAGTAGATGGGTCTAGAGATGCCTGCCAAAATGCCCAGCTATTTTTAGAGACAGGGTCTTGCTTTTGCTTAGCTTGAACTCCTGAGCTCAAGCAAG